GTAGTAGTAGTAGTATATATATATATATATATATATATATATATATATATATATATGATAATGGAAATCACTCGTAAGTTCTCACCATTAAAGTTTTCCAAGAATCACTTTTGACTTAAAAAGAAGTAACACTAAATTTATATACTTATTGTTTAGTGAGAGATGGTCACTCTTATAAAACTGTTCAAGAAACATTTTATTCATATAGTATAAGATTTTACTGTGTGTAAATGAAGACAGGGCATGTGGTTCTTGCTGTTAATTCATTATTTTGTAGTATATCCAGGTGAAACTGAATTACTTTACAGCTATATTGGATAGTTCCACTTGATAATGGTAGATTTATTGAAGATGTCAATTCTGAAAAAAAAGGTTAAATCCGTCACTAACTGAGTTGAAGTAACAAGACCAGATAAAAAGTATAAAACAAAATGGATAATGTTTATAAACAGCTACTAAACACAAAGACAGTGTGTATACTTTGTTGAATAAAAGTATATTTTTCTCTTATCCTGTTTCAGATTGACTAATGTTCCTTATCATGTAACAAACCTTGCATTTACCCACCTGACTGGCTATACTCATCACAACAGAAGTTGGGCTCTAACCTCTAGGTATCACCTCACCTGAACTGTTGAAGGATGCTGCTGTAAACATCATTACACAATGTGCAGTATTATTCATTTCAAGAACGACATTAGCTTAGAACTGAATCAACTTAATGGCTTTCTTGGCCACTTGTTATGTAAAACCTACAAAACCAAGAATTAATTCAAAATAAATACTGTAATAGTATCAGATACAAACATACAATCTGTTAAGAATCTTAACTATAATCAAACCAACACATTATTTTTTTTTAATATATGTGTCTTTGATATTAAGCACAAAGCTACATAATGGGCTATTTTTCTGTGTCCACCACAGGTGCCAAAACCAAATTTTCATGATAAGTCTAGAGATTTACCACTGAACGTTTCTATCTTCTCGTAACGCTGGAACATTTGTAAAATACATTAGTGGAAAGTGAGAAATTTTCTGAGATTACCCATGAGTGTGTGTCAAACGCACATTTTAAGGTAGCCATTGAAACAGGGTAAAGGTTTAGTGATGGGGTCCCCCCCTTTTATACAAATTATTTATTTTGAAATGAGATGTTTAACACATCTGAGGTGAAACCTTTATTGTGGTTAAGGCATGTAGATGACACGTTTTTTAGTGTGGTTAAGGTATGTAGATGACACGTTTTTAGTGTGGTTAAGGTATGTTGATGACACGTTTTTTAGTTTGGTTAAGGTATGTATATGACACGTTTTTTAGTGTGGTTAAGGTATGTATGACACGTTTTTTAGTTTGGTTAAGGTATGTATATGACACGTTTTTAGTGTGGTTAAGGTATGTTGATGACACGTTTTTTAGTGTGGTTAAGGCATGTAGATGACACGTTTTTAGTATGGTTAATTAAGATCTAATTTAAGGGGCAACGTTTGGCAGAGAATACTTCATCTGCACCAACTGAGATACAAGAATATCATTCAAGGAAACTAGTCGCCAAATTAATGAATTTTTGACAGTATTAGTTTTACAGTGTTTACCTCTATTTTTTTAAAGAGGCGATGGATTTATTTGAAACGTGCGTATTTTAATTCAAAATTAAAAGTGAAATATCCAATTGTGTTTATTTCTTAGAAAAACAGCGAGGCTGAAACATTAGAATGTTACAAAACCTATATGACATAAAAGTTAAAAAAAAATGTTTTCTCTTATTCGGAACAAAGCGAAACTTAAAGGTGGACTAAATATGGAAAAAAGTCATAATGACCTATCTATTTTTAGAAGCCCTTTTAAGAACTAAAGCAAAATTGACACTAGCTGGAATATTAATGATAAATCAGGTCTTAAATTTTTGAAGTTTTCAGGAAAAAAAAGTTTCATTTTGAAAAGCATACATCAAGTGCATCTTTCTAGAAACATGAAAAATAGTTTTTATGAAATTCTGGAAAATACCAAGGGTGTAGTCATGGTAATATTTAGGCCAAAAAGTGCGTACTTTAATACAAAATTAAAAGTGAAATCTCCAATTGTGTTAATTTCTTTGAAAAAAACAGAAAGACTGAACCATTAGAGTTTCGAAGAACAATAATATGTCACCTTAAAAGTAAAAAATAAAGTTCTTTCTTATGTAGCTTAAAAATAAGCTTAAATGTGGGCTAACCTTGGAAAGAAGCTGTAATGACCTTATAGACTTGGGAATTATTTTAAAATCTCCTATTGTTTGTCTTCAATTGAGAACTAAAGCAAAATCGAAACTTACAGGAATATTTATGATAAATCATGACTTTTTGAATTTTGATGAAATGGGTTCCCATTTTGAAAAGCATACATCAAGTGCATGCTGCTACCCAAATAACATGAAAAATACCAAGGGAAAATACAGCCTAGTAATTTTTTTGAAACACAAAAAAGTGTGTATCTTAATGCAAAATTACAAGTGAAATATGCGATTGTGTTTATTTCTTAGAATAACAAGACTGAAACATTAGAACTTAGAAATAAAATATTTTAATCACTTGAAAAACAGATTTTTTTTATATAAAATAAAAACAATCTTAAAGGTGGAATAAAATTGGAAAGAATCCATAATGACCTTACAGACTTTGTAATTTTAACTGAAAAGTCCATGTCTCCATATTAGAGAGAACCACATGCAAAATGGGAGAAGCTGCTGCAAACTAAAATTGCCCTAGCTCTAAATCAAAATGGAGAAGATTGGGCCCAACTGAGTAGGAAATAAAACAACACCCCAAGATTAATGAGGTATTGCATGGGAGTGAAGAAACCAACCCAAGCCTCAACTCCTAGAAGCCAGACATCCTTGCCATGGTGGAAGTGATGGCCCCAGGAAATGAACAAGATGGGCAAAAACCAACACCATCCAAATCGTAAGGAACCTAGGAGGTCCAACAGAAGAGTCTGGACTAAAAACACACAATCGCTATTGATCCAAGGAAGAGTCAGAATGCAGGGGAAAGGTTAATGAGAAGGAATGCATATATCACAACACCCTCATCCGCCACAAACCAGGAGGGAAAACCCCAAAAAGGGCTAATTACGACCCCATGGTGAAATGTATTAGCACTAATAAATGGATCAGAAATGAGCAAATGATGATAGAGCACCAGTCTCTTAACTTTAAAAGGACAAGAGACAAATGGGAATAAGAACCCCAAATATAGGGCTCTACCCACATAATGACATCCTTGCAAGCAAATCCTAAAAACACTGGCAGGAAACAGAAACCTGAGGATGAGGGAAATTCAAAAAAAGGACCAGACCAAATGTAATCATTTCAGAACCCAAGGATCTATGAGAAATTATCTCCAAACTTGAGCAAAGCAGTGAAAAAATTGTTGTACCATATCAGATGGAGTAAGAATGTGTGTATATTGTAGAGCAAAGTCATATTGGGGTAACTGCCACTTCCATCATGTGGAGTCAAACCTGTGACAGTCATGTAAACAATGGTGTTTTATGATACATTTCAATACGATATCTTACCTCATCTCATTAAAAGCTTTTTCAAGTTATACTGCCTTCTTTTTGCCATAAATTTTTGCTTGCCACTAGCCTTGATACTCCCACCTACTCTCATGTATGTTAATGTGATATATCTGCATACTTCAACAGCATCTGAGCATGCTATTGGCTTGGGATGTAAAGCCTGGTTTGCTGTGAGTTGGCTCCATTTTTGTGGACTTCTGCTGATTGGCCTCTTTTACTTTGTACTGCTTTGCCTGTACATGATGGTGAGGATTTGAGCTACCAAGTTGTTCTTCCTGCCTTATGACTGCCAGTCGCGCGTCATTTCTGGGAGTTGTTCAGGCCTACTTTCCCTATTGAATCAGGTAGGATATGTTTTATCATTATTGTCCGTTTCTTTTCATTATTTTCTCTGTGACAAACTGTGGGGTCAGTTTTAGTGTTCTCTGAACCTCTTGGGTTATTGGAGTCTCGAATGTAGTTTGGAGACCAGTTAAGTTCGAGCATGTTGTCGTTCTCACTTCCCTCCTTAGGCTTGCAAAGTGTGAATCCCCTTATGGCACTTTTGTCTGGTACTAGGTGCTTTCTGGGGGGCATTCCCGAATCTCTGGAGCCCAGGGTTAGGTCAGCCCTGTTGCTTAACTTCTCTCCCACAACCCCTTGTCCCCATTCCTTTCTTTGGTCGGTTCTGACCTCCCAAATGTTTGCAGTTTGCCGTTGATCCTTTGAGCACTGTTTTTGGAGTGCTGAGCAGTCTTGGTGTTTTCAAGGGGTGGGGTTCAGGCCCGGTGGAAGTCAGACTCATGTCACCTCGGTGGGACAAGGTTATGTATATGGACTTGCAACACTATTAAAGAAACAATATAAATTTTAACTCTATTTATAGTTTGGTCAGCCATAGAAAGAATGTGATTTGTTTTAGCTTTAATGGTGATTTCAGAGAGATCATCTTTAGGTTTGAAAGGGCAAAGACCCACTGCAAAGTGCTGTATACATACATTTTTTTTTCAAGTTTGTTGGAAACTCCTATGTCCCTATTTGGACAGTTAGGATGATGTAAAGATTGTAAGAATAGGGTTAGCTACTAGAGTACGAAATGATGCCTCCCCTCTGGCTCTTTTCTACTTCTTGATCTTCCTCACCTAGCATGAATCTTTACCTGAACACCAAGAGAGTGTTGTAGCTCAACATACAGACATTTTGGCTTTATCAAACTATGTTCCTGTCAGGGTTAGCCAAGAATATTATACTTATGCCAGTGTACCTAAAGACATCCCAGTAGACTTCACCTTTTTTGATCAACATTCTTGACTTATCTGGAAGAAGAGTTTAAGGTTTCTCACACATTACGTTTACCCTTAATTTATCATTCAACTTTTTATTCCAAATCTTTTCTAAACTCTTTTCAGATAACAACATTGTATACCAAACATCACATGAGGTTACTGTACCTTCCATAATCTATGGTACTTTATATTCTACAAAGTCACATTACTTTTCTCCAGTGTAACACTGTTAATATATTTCATTGTAGCAAAATCTTCTATAGTCTTAGTAATACACACACATTACAACCAACTTGAATTATTTTTCAATGTTTACCCACTGATGCTTCTTTATTAAAATATTTCTCGGCAAAATATTCCTTATAACACACTTCACTTTGTTCACCTCAACTATATTTATTCTTAAAATATTAAAGCTCTTACCACAGACATTGTGACAAGATGATTTCCTGTAACTTCTGGTGTCTTGTCCACAATTTGTATTACACAACACAATTTAAGGATTTCACTCCAGTGAGCAACAGTACAGTTTCTTCTCCAGTATGTATCCTTTGATGTCTTTCATCATTAATTTCTTCAAAAAATACACAACATAAGGGAATGGTTTAATTGCAAGGTGTATTTTGATATTTTTTCTAAACAGCTTTTCTGTCAAATATTTCTGCCACATGCAAAAAATGTGTAAATTTTATGTTTACTTTTATTATCTCCCTTCAACATTTCACCACTTGTTGATTTCATGTTTACTTTTATTATCTACCTTCAACATTTCACCACTTGTTGATTTCATGTTTACTTTTATTATCTCCCTTCAACATTTCACCACTTGTTGATTTCATGTTTACTTTTATTATCTCCCTTCAACATTTCACCACTTGTTGATTTCATGTTTACTTTTATTATCTCCCTTCAACATTTCACAACTTGTTAGTTTCAGACATTTGACATTTTCCTCTGTGTAAATATTTAGGTACTTTAAAGCATTAAATATTTTTTTCAGGTAACCCTTTCTTTTAAAATCTCTAAATTTTATCAGATATTTTTTTTTTTATAAAACATTTTGATTTCTTTTATTTATTTTCCATCCAACATTTTTTTGGTGTTAATGTGTTAAACATGAACAAGCTCTTTATAACACAATAAACACCTGCATGATTTCTCCACAACGAATACCATCACACGATAAGTTACTACTTCTTACAAATTCCTTGCCCCATTCCAAACAACTGAGTGGTTACACTCCAGTGTGTGTGTCCTCGTGCTTTTTTAAATCACAGTTTCTTCTGAATTCTTTACCACAAACTACACAACTGTGTGGCTTTTCCCCAGTATGTATCATTTGATGTGCTCTAAGGTGACTACTACTTTTATACTTTTTGCCACAATTTACACAACCGTACGGTTTCTCCCCAGTGTGTATCCTCTGATGTATTTTAAGATTATAATTTCTTGTAAATTCTTTATGACACACTAGACAACTGTACTGTTTCTCCCCAGTGTGTATTCTTTGGTGAGTTTTAAGATAAACACTTCTACCAAATTTTTTGCCACACTCTAAACAACTATATGGTTTCTCGCCAGTATGTGTCCTCTGATGAGTTTTAAGGTGACTTCTCTTTCCATATTCTTTACCACACACTAAACATCTGTATGGTTTTAGTCCAGAATGTATCCTCATATGTTCTTGTAGCCAAGTATTTGTAACAAATTTTTCACCACACACTAAACAATTGTATGGTTTATCTCCAGTATGTACCTTTTCATGTCTGTTAAGATGACTTTTATACCCAAATTTCTTATCACAAAATAAACAACTGTAAGGTTTCTCCCCAGTATGTATTCTCTCATGTTCTTTTAAATGACAATTGTTTTGAAATCCTTTATTACACACTAAACAACTGTATGGTTTCTCTCCAGTGTGCAGTCGTACATGTGCTTGTAGGCAGCTATTTGTATAAAATGTTTTTCCACACACTACACAGCTGTACGGTTTCTCACCAGTGTGTACCCTTTTATGTGTATTAAGATGACTTTTAGTTCCAAATTTTTTATCACAAACTTCACAAGTGTATGGTTTTTCTCCAGTATGTGTCCGCTTATGACTTTTAAATTGACTACTACTTCTAAATTTTTTATTACACACTACACAACTGTAAGGCTTTTCCCCAGTGTGTATCCTCAGATGTATTTTTAAATTACTATTTGTTAAAAATTGTTTACCACACACTTCACAGTTGTGTGGTTTTTCTCCAGTGTGCACCTTCTCATGTTCGTTAAGTTGACTTTTACTCCTTATTTTTTTATCACACACTAGACATGTGTACGGTTTCTCTCCAGTATGTATCCTCTCATGGCTTTTACACTGACTGCTACTTCGAAATCCTTTGTTGCACACTATGCAACTGTATGGTTTTTCCCCAGTATGTATCCTCAGATGAATTTTTAAAGTATTTTGTGTTACAAATTGTTTACCACACACTACACAACTGAACGGTTTTCTCCCAGTGCATATCTTCATATCTAATTTTAGATGACGATTTTTTTCCAATTCTTTATCACACACAACATCACTTTTTTGATTATTTACTCTCAACAACATTCTTTCATACACACTTGGATTCAGGGAATTGTACTTTTTTGACTTTGAAAAGAGAGATTTTTGTGTTATAATATCGTATCCGTGAAACTGTTTTCCAGAATAGTTGTTCAAATGTGTATTTGGATCTAGAATGAAAAAAAATAAATGATTAATTAAAATATACATATAAGGATTTAGTAACTGAATAAATAACTATGAATATTGTTTAACACAGTCAGTTAAAAAACACACACTAAAACCAACTTTAAAAATAGGTATATTATACACCTGAAACCAAAACAGATTTGGACTGAATGGTGCAGTTGTCGTGTCATCGATACCTCTTGAGCAAATATTTTGCTTTTAAGAAATGTCTCTGTAGATTAGAAGAACAGTTGGGTGAAATATAACATTTACATAAATCTTCTGTCCAGGTTCTTTACAGTGGATGAAGCATGGAAATGGTTGTTTGATAAAATTGAGACAACAGAAATTATTTCAAAGACGCAATCTGAGTGGCCCATTTTGCTTGTTCAATAAAACTGTATTAACACTGGTAATAAAAAAACATCAGCAGTTAACATGATTTTTATCATAAATGTTAGGCCTGCTTGTGTTCCAAAGTGAATTTGGCAAAATATTTGTGTCTTATGTTTTAGGAGTTGAGCTGAAATACTCAACCGTCATTTTTTTGCACAAAATGAATAAAATTTTGCTAAGATAAAATACTTTACATCATATAAACATTGTTATATATCAGCTTGAATCAGCAAGAAAATGTTGCCCTGAACTACGTATATCGAACAAGATTTATTTTTTATGTACCCTACAATAAATTAAGCAGGTTGGATTATTAACATGTTTTTAAACAGTAAGAAGTCTATACACATGCACGAATTCTGAATAACTTCATAGAAAGAAACAAAAATATATTCCTAGTTAAAATTTAAACCCGATCTTTATCATGTTTGATTTATAATTAGAAGAAGTATTATTTTCATAAAAATTACGCTGACAGTTTTTTTTTATAAAATTTTGAAAATATTATTTAAGAGTTTAAATCAAAATTACACAAAGTTTAATTTAGACAAGTTATTGAATTGGTTTTCATTAAAATATTTTTCATTTCTTAATACATAATATGCTTGAATTAAGATTTAATTCAATGTTGGCCACATTCAGCAAAAGAATTAACAAGTCTACTCTGAGTTTTACATCAACATCCTCCTGGTTTAGAAAGGGTTAAGTTACATCTTACTTTATTACATAGTTGAAATGTTCAATGTTGGTCACATTCAGCAAAAGAATTAACAAGTCTACTCTGAGTTTTACATCAACATCCTCCTGGTTTAGAAAGGGTTAAGTTACATCTTACTTTATTAGATAGTTGAAATGTTCAATGTTGGTCACATTCAGCAACAGAATTAACAAGTCTACTCTGAGTTTTACATCGACATCCTCCTGGTTTAGAAAGGGTTAAGTTACATCTTACTTTATT